TCAGGGACAGAGAGAGACGTTCAGAGACAGAGAGAGGCGTCCAGGGACAGAGAGGCGTCCAGGGAATGAGAGAGGCGTTGAGGGACAGAGAGACTTTCAGAGACAGAGAGAGACGTTCAGGGACAGAGAGAGGCGTTCAGAGACAGAGAGGCGTTCAGGGACAGAGAGGCGTTCAGGGACAGAGAGAGCGTTACAGAGACAGAGAGACGTTCAGGGACAGAGAGGGGCATTCATCATTTCAGAGACAGAGAGAGGCGTTCAGGGACAGAGAGGCGTTTCAGAGACAGAGAGAGGCGTTCAGGGACAGAGAGGCGTTCAGAGACAGAGAGAGGCGTTCAGGGAACAGAGAGCGCGTTCAGGGACAGAGAGGGGCGTTCAGAGACAGAGAGAGGCGTTCAGGGACAGAGAGGCGTTCAGAGACAGAGACAGGCATTCAGGGACAGAGAGGCGTTCAGGGACAGAGAGGCGTTCAGGGACAGAGAGGCGTTCAGGGACAGAGAGAGGCGTTCAGGGACAGAGAGGCATTCAGAGACAGAGAGAGGCGTTCAGGGACAGAGAGGCATTCAGAGACAGAGAGAGGCGTTCAGGGACAGAGAGGCATTCAGAGACAGAGAGAGGCGTTCAGGGACAGAGAGGCGTTCAGGGACAGAGAGGGGCTTTCAGAGACAGAGAGAGGCGTTCAGGGACAGAGAGGCGTTCAGAGACAGAGAGAGGCGTTCAGGGACAGAGAGGCGTTCAGGGACAGAGAGGCGTTCAGGGACAAAGAGGCGTTCAGGGACAGAGAGGGGCGTTCAGAGCCAGAGAGAGGCGTTCAGGGACAGAGAGGGGCGTTTAAAGACAGAGAGAGGCATTCAGGGACAGAGAGGCGTTCAGGGACAGAGATAGACGTTCAGAGACAGAGAGAGGCGTTCAGGGACAGAGAGACGTTCAGGGACAGAGAGAGGCGTTCAGAGACAGAGAGAGGCGTTCAGGGACAGAGAGGCGTTCAGGGACAGAGAGACGTTCAGGGACAGAGAGGGGCGTTCAGGGACGGAGAGGCGTTCAGGGACAGAGAAGCGTTCAGGGACAGAGAGAGGCGTTCAGAGACAGAGAGAGGCGTTCAGGGACAGAGAGGCGTTCAGGGACAGAGAGACGTTCAGGGACAGAGAGGGGCGTTCAGAGACAGAGAGAGGCGTTCAGGGACAGAGAGGCGTTCAGGGACAGAGAGACGTTCAGGGACAGAGAGGGGCGTTCAGAGACAGAGAGGCGTTCAGAGACAGAGAGAGGCGTTCAGGGACAGAAAGGCGTTCAGGGACAGAGAGACGTTCAGGGACAGAGAGACGTTCAGGGACAGAGAGGGGCGTTCAGAGACAGAGAGGCGTTCAGAGACAGAGAGAGGCGTTCAGGGACAGAGAGGCGTTCAGGGACAGAGAGGGGCGTTCAGAGACAGAGAGGCGTTCAGAGACAGAGAGAGGCGTTCAGAGACAGAGAGGCGTTCAGGGACGGAGAGGCGTTCAGGGACAGAGAGGGGCGTTCAGAGACAGAGAGGCGTTCAGAGACAGAGAGAGGCGTTCAGAGACAGAGAGGCGTTCAGAGACAGAGAGAGGCGTTCAGGGACAGAGAGGCGTTCAGGGACAGAGAGGCGTTCAGGGACAGAGAGGGGCGTTCAGAGACAGAGAGGCGTTCAGAGACAGAGAGAGGTGTTCAGGGACAGAGAGGCGTTCAGGGACAGAGAGGCGTTCAGGGACAGAGAGACGTTCAGGGACAGAGAGGCGTTCAGGGACAGAGAGACGTTCAGGGACAGAGAGGGGCGTTCAGAGACAGAGAGAGGCGTTCAGGGACAGAGAGGCGTTCAGAGACAGAGAGGCGTGCAGGGACAGAGAGGGGCGTTCAGAGACAGAGAGGCGTTCAGGGACAGAGAGAGGCGTTCAGGGACAGAGAGGCGTTCAGGGACAGAGAGAGGCGTTCAGGGACAGAGAGGCGTTGAGGGACAGAAAGACTTTCAGAGACAGAGAGACGTTCAGGGACAGAGAGAGACGTTCAGAGACAGAGAGAGGCGTCCAGGGACAGAGAGGCGTCCAGGGACAGAGAGAGGCGTTCAGGGACAGAGAGGCGTTGAGGGACAGAGAGACTTTCAGAGACAGAGAGAGACTTTCAGGGACAGAGAGAGGCGTTCAGAGACAGAGAGGCGTTCAGGGACAGAGAGGCGTTCAGGGACAGAGAGAGGCGTTCAGAGACAGAGAGACGTTCAGGGACAGAGAGGGGCATTCAGAGACAGAGAGAGGCGTTCAGGGACAGAGAGGCGTTCAGAGACAGAGAGAGGCGTTCAGAGACAGAGAGGCGTTCAGAGACAGAGAGAGGCGTTCAGGGACAGAGAGGCGTTCAGGGACAGAGAGGGGCGTTCAGAGACAGAGAGGCGTTCAGAGACAGAGAGAGGTGTTCAGGGACAGAGAGGCGTTCAGGGACAGAGAGGCGTTCAGGGACAGAGAGACGTTCAGGGACAGAGAGGCGTTCAGGGACAGAGAGACGTTCAGGGACAGAGAGGGGCGTTCAGAGACAGAGAGAGGCGTTCAGGGACAGAGAGGCGTTCAGAGACAGAGAGGCGTGCAGGGACAGAGAGGGGCGTTCAGAGACAGAGAGGCGTTCAGGGACAGAGAGAGGCGTTCAGGGACAGAGAGGCGTTCAGGGACAGAGAGAGGCGTTCAGGGACAGAGAGGCGTTGAGGGACAGAAAGACTTTCAGAGACAGAGAGACGTTCAGGGACAGAGAGAGACGTTCAGAGACAGAGAGAGGCGTCCAGGGACAGAGAGGCGTCCAGGGACAGAGAGAGGCGTTCAGGGACAGAGAGGCGTTGAGGGACAGAGAGACTTTCAGAGACAGAGAGAGACGTTCAGGGACAGAGAGAGGCGTTCAGAGACAGAGAGGCGTTCAGGGACAGAGAGGCGTTCAGGGACAGAGAGAGGCGTTCAGAGACAGAGAGACGTTCAGGGACAGAGAGGGGCATTCAGAGACAGAGAGAGGCGTTCAGGGACAGAGAGGCGTTCAGAGACAGAGAGAGGCGTTCAGGGACAGAGAGGCGTTCAGAGACAGAGAGAGGCGTTCAGGGACAGAGAGGCGTTCAGGGACAGAGAGGGGCGTTCAGAGACAGAGAGAGGCGTTCAGGGACAGAGAGGCGTTCAGAGACAGAGACAGGCATTCAGGGACAGAGAGGCGTTCAGGGACAGAGAGGCGTTCAGGGACAGAGAGGCGTTCAGGGACAGAGAGAGGCGTTCAGGGACAGAGAGGCATTCAGAGACAGAGAGAGGCGTTCAGGGACAGAGAGGCATTCAGAGACAGAGAGAGGCGTTCAGGGACAGAGAGGCATTCAGAGACAGAGAGAGGCGTTCAGGGACAGAGAGGCGTTCAGGGACAGAGAGGGGCTTTCAGAGACAGAGAGAGGCGTTCAGGGACAGAGAGGCGTTCAGAGACAGAGAGAGGCGTTCAGGGACAGAGAGGCGTTCAGGGACAGAGAGGCGTTCAGGGACAAAGAGGCGTTCAGGGACAGAGAGGGGCGTTCAGAGCCAGAGAGAGGCGTTCAGGGACAGAGAGGGGCGTTTAAAGACAGAGAGAGGCATTCAGGGACAGAGAGGCGTTCAGGGACAGAGATAGACGTTCAGAGACAGAGAGAGGCGTTCAGGGACAGAGAGACGTTCAGGGACAGAGAGAGGCGTTCAGAGACAGAGAGAGGCGTTCAGGGACAGAGAGGCGTTCAGGGACAGAGAGACGTTCAGGGACAGAGAGGGGCGTTCAGAGACAGAGAGAGGCGTTCAGGGACAGAGAGGCGTTCAGAGACAGAGAGAGGCGTTCAGGGACAGAGAGGCGTTCAGGGACAGAGAGGCGTTCAGGGACAGAGAGGCGTTCAGGGACGGAGAGGCGTTCAGGGACAGAGAAGCGTTCAGGGACAGAGAGAGGCGTTCAGAGACAGAGAGAGGCGTTCAGGGACAGAGAGGCGTTCAGGGACAGAGAGACGTTCAGGGACAGAGAGGGGCGTTCAGAGACAGAGAGAGGCGTTCAGGGACAGAGAGGCGTTCAGGGACAGAGAGACGTTCAGGGACAGAGAGGGCCGTTCAGAGACAGAGAGGCGTTCAGAGACAGAGAGAGGCGTTCAGGGACAGAGAGGCGTTCAGGGACAGAGAGACGTTCAGGGACAGAGAGACGTTCAGGGACAGAGAGGGGCGTTCAGAGACAGAGAGGCGTTCAGAGACAGAGAGAGGCGTTCAGGGACAGAGAGGCGTTCAGGGACAGAGAGGGGCGTTCAGAGACAGAGAGGCGTTCAGAGACAGAGAGAGGCGTTCAGAGACAGAGAGGCGTTCAGGGACGGAGAGGCGTTCAGGGACAGAGAGGGGCGTTCAGAGACAGAGAGGCGTTCAGAGACAGAGAGAGGCGTTCAGAGACAGAGAGGCGTTCAGAGACAGAGAGAGGCGTTCAGGGACAGAGAGGCGTTCAGGGACAGAGAGGCGTTCAGGGACAGAGAGGGGCGTTCAGAGACAGAGAGGCGTTCAGAGACAGAGAGAGGTGTTCAGGGACAGAGAGGCATTCAGGGACAGAGAGGCGTTCAGGGACAGAGAGACGTTCAGGGACAGAGAGGCGTTCAGGGACAGAGAGACGTTCAGGGACAGAGAGGGGCGTTCAGAGACAGAGAGAGGCGTTCAGGGACAGAGAGGCGTTCAGAGACAGAGAGGCGTTCAGGGACAGAGAGGGGCGTTCAGAGACAGAGAGAGGCGTTCAGGGACAGAGAGGCGTTCAGAGACAGAGAGGCGTTCAGAGACAGAGAGGCGTTCAGGGACAGAGAGACGTTCAGGGACAGAGAGGGGCGTTCAGAGACAGAGAGAGGCGTTCAGGGACAGAGAGGCGTTCAGAGACAGAGAGGCGTTCAGAGACAGAGAGGCGTTCAGGGACAGAGAGACTTTCAGAGACAGAGAGAGGCGTTCAGGGACAGAGAGGCGTGCTTGTTACCTGCGTCCTGACGGCATGCCCTGCACCTGCAGCCAGGAGTCGTCTACAGGTGGAGGCATGGAGGTGGTGATGGTGGAGGTGCTGATGTCCCCGATGATGTGCAGCCCTTCCTTCAGAGCGTGGTACATCTTCAGCATCTCGTCACGGTGCTGAGCCTGAGACACAGATCTGAGGTCAGAGGCGGGGACATCTCCTCATAGACTTCTATACAATCTGAGGAGTCTCCCCCTCTCACCTGTCTGTCTCTCACCTGTCTGTCTCTCACCTGTCTGTCTCTCACCTGTCTGTCTCTCACCTCTCTGTCTCTCACCTGTCTGTCTCTCACCTCTCTGTCTCTCACCTGTGTGTCTCTCACCTGTCTGTCTCTCACCTCTCTGTCTCTCACCTCCCCCCCTCTTACCTGTCTGTCTCTCACCTGTCTGTCTCTCACCTCTCTGTCTCTCACCTCTCCCCCTCTCACCTGTCTGTCTCTCACCTCTCTGTCTCTCACCTCTCTGTCTCTCACCTCTCCCCCTCTTACCTGTCTCTCTCTCACCTGTCTGTCTCTCACCTGTCTGTCTCTCACCTCTCTGTCTCTCACCTCTCTGTCTCTCACCTGTCTGTTTCTCCTCCTGTCTGTCTCTCACCTGTCTGTCTCTCACCTCTCTGTCTCTCACCTCTCCCCCTCTCACCTGTCTGTCTCTCACCTCTCTGTCTCTCACCTCTCTGTCTCTCACCTCTCCCCCTCTTACCTGTCTCTCTCTCACCTGTCTGTCTCTCACCTGTCTGTCTCTCACCTCTCTGTCTCTCACCTCTCTGTCTCTCACCTCTCCCCCTCTTACCTGTCTCTCTCTCACCTGTCTGTCTCTCACCTCTCTGTCTCTCACCTCTCCCCCTCTTACCTGTCTCTCTCTCACCTGTCTGTCTCTCACCTCTCTGTCTCTCACCTCTCTGTCTCTCACCTGTCTGTTTCTCCTCCTGTCTGTCTCTCCACCTGTCTGTCTCTCCACCTGTCTGACTTCCACCTGTCTGTCTCTCACCTGGTCCTGTGATTCCTCCATCAGGGTGTTCTGGTCTCCACAGGAGTAAAGGTGTGCGAGCAGGTCCGAGTGGATGAACTCCTTCGTCTGGGGAACAGAGGGGAGGTCACATGACTGCTGACATCACGTCTTGTGTGTGTATGTGTGTGTGTGTGTGTGTGTGTGTGTGTGTGTGTGTGTGTGTGTGTGTGTGTGTGTGTGTGTGTGTGTGTGTGTGTATGTGTGTGTGTGTGTGTGTGGCGTACGTTGTTGACCATCAGGTGCATGATGGTCTTGGGGATGAGGTCTCTGACGGTGCGGTGGATGATGGACAGGTAGGAGTCCACCAGGTTCCTGACGATCTCCACCTGGCGCTCCAGCTGAGGGTCCAGGCTGTGGATCTGCCCGTCGCCCAGAGCCTCCTCCACCTCCACCTGAGAATCACATCACACATCACACCTCCACCTGTCACACCTCCACCTGAGAATCACATCACACCTCCACCTGTCTGGCCTTGGAGAACGTAAGGTCTGCTGTTAAGGGAATGCTTTCTAGAACATAGAACCTGAGAGTCACATCACACCTCTCTCTGTCTGGCCTTGGAGAACGTGAGGTCTGCTGTTAAGGGAAGGCCTTCTAGAACATATGAGGGAATGCTTACATTTCTGAGGAAAATAACTAGATGTGACCTTGAGTACTTTGTACAAGATCTGAGTGCTTGCCCCCCCTCTGTCTGCTTCAGAGGACAGAAACTGATTGGGTTGAATTCAAGTCAGACTGTGATCTACAGAATAACAGCTGACAGAATGACACTGAGGGGGGACAAAATAACAGGAACAGCTGTCAGAATAAAGAGACAGAACTCACCTTGTCTTTATCCTGCAGAAACCAAGAGAAGATATTTTATTATTAAACAGAAACTAAACAATAAGTTAGAATAATGTATGGAAAGTAAAGGCATTGCTAACACTGAGGTAAGGCTACAGTAACAAAGCACTGACCCTAATAACTCAGTAATAACTCAGTAATAACACTAATAACACAGTATTAACACAGTAATAACACTAATAACTCAGTAATAACACTAATAACACAGTAATAACTCAGTAATAACTCAGTAATAACACAGTATTAACACAGTAATAACTCAGTAATAACTCAGTAATAACTAGGGTTGCAAAGGGGCGGAAAGTTTCCAGTAAATTTCCGGAAAGTTTCCGGAAAGTTTCCATGGGAAGTTAAACTGGGGAATTTTGGAAATATTCGATGCAAAATTAAACAAAAAAACATGATATTTCAACAGATGATATTGAACAATTATTTGTGTCATTGAAGAACGAAAACAGGAATGTTGAGTTAAATGTTACTCATCCCCCCCAACCCCACTCATTAAAAAATGAACAAAAATGCACCCCCCATCCAAAAATCCCCACAAAGTCCCAGTCCAGTAATAACACTAATAACACACTAATAACAC